GAAGGCAGACGCTTAATGACTGAGCCATCCAGGCGCCCCAAATTAATAGAATTTTTAAGTGTAAATAAGATTGGATTGTACTAAGCCATCTGAAGTGGGAGGTGAGAGAGAGTGTGGGGGGAATAGGGAGGTCATCAGCTTCAGTAAAGCTGGATGTGCTCTTCTGTGTGAGAGTGTCCTCATGCAGCACGAACCCTTACAGTACAATAGCTTGGCTGATAAAGTCTTGTCTGTATGAACTACAGGACAGCTGGGTGAAACCAGGCATTTAACTCAACACTAGATACTCCACAGCTGAGGAAGCTAAATGGAGGGTTTCAGAGGGATTTACCTGGGAAAGTATCTTATTGGTTCACTTCTTATTGTCCACCCTTCGCTGTGTTCTTTTCCTTTACCTGTCTTAGGTACCCTGCTTGGATCCATCAGCAGCTCCTCCTCCACATCATCTTTGGAGCACAAACTGAACTACCCCAAGAAACTGAATGCACATAGCAGTAACAGGAAGACAGTGAGCAAAAGCCCGTCTGTCTCCTCTAGAACCAGTGCTGGTATCTATGGCTTTTTCAACCAGGCTTTCTTGGTGTTTTTTATCTTGGTTTGTTTGTAAGTAGATTTGCTCTTTTTAAATGTGTAGAAGGAACTTTTTACTTCAGTCAGATAGAACTACTTGTACTCTTCTGTCTTCCCCGTGCCCCCCACCTCTCGTGAGCGTCCTCGGTCTCCCTGCCTCCCTCCCCGTGCTCCTGCCGTGTTCCTTGTCTGGACTGATTTCTTCCCTACCACATGCATGTAACACCTCTGAGCCTGTAAGGATCGTTTTAGAAATTTATGATAGATCCTCAGATATGTGGAAACCATACGGTTATTATCTGTCTTATCTCTTTTCTAATCTAGACCTAATAATAACTAACATGTATTGTATACTTATTATTTCAGGTTCTATTCTAAGCACTTTACATACCTCATTTCACTTAATTCTCAAAACAAACCTTTGGATAGGTACTATTATTCTCACTCTCATTTTATGAATGAGGGACCCGAGGCTTAGGGGAGGTAAGTCATTGGTGCCTGATGCCACTTACTCCTTAGGGGAGGTAAGTCATTTCTAAGTGGCACACCTGGGCTTTAGCCTGCGGTCGGTCGGCTGCTTCCTCTGCTGCTGTTAGGGTTTGCCTCCATCCCAAGTACCTCCGCTCTTCCTCCTGCTCCTCGGCCTCCAGACCACTCATGGCCAGCCCATGGAGAGCTGAACTGTTGCCCATGGGCACAAGCACAGTGTAAGGCCCCTCCTGCAGTGTGGCGACCACACCATCATCCTGGCTCCGAGGGAGCCTCTGGCCAGGGCCCTTCTTGTTGCCACTTCATGTAGGACTTTACCTGCATTCTCCTTTAATTGAATGTTAGAGGTTTCATCCCTCTGCATTCTGTTGCTTACACCTTGAATACTAGCTTTCCCACATACTTCTGTGTCGTCTTCATATTTGAAGTTCAAGTCCTTGTTTAACACTAGGTAGGAGAGGGTCAGTGGCTCTCCTGACAGGTTGATGATAGTAACCCGTTGGGATGTGGCGAGTCCTGAGTAACCTTGTTCAGTCCACATTTCTCCAGTTACATGTAAGGATATAGAAAGCACTTCATAGCAGACATCTTGCCGAAATCAACATATATGAAACATATTGCCATTCGCTCATTTGGCTACGTAGCAAACTTGTCCGGAAAGGAAATGAAACCGTTTTGGCATAAATTGTTTTCAGTGAACCTCATAATAAGATTCTCATTCACGTACTTTTAACAGTTGTACTGAAGCAATATTTTATTATGGAAAATGTTCGTGACGGGGTTTTTGTTTTTTTTTTTCTCTTTAAAATACTTACTGTACTGTGATGGGGAGGAGCCCTCAGCGATAACACTGACGTAATAAACCTATAGGGTGGGACTCTAAAAGCAGAGAACCTAGAAGTTTTGCCTGAAATTGTTTACTTGGAACTTGTATTTTCGGTGTGGGTGCTCCTTCCCCTGTGAGCAGTTTCTGTCTAGCCCCCTGAAGAACAGAGCTACCAAGATAGGGATATAGCATTCCTGCTTGTCCTCATTTTATTCACATTACAAGGCCTCCTTCACTTGGAATTTGGGCTTTTGACATTTACTTGATTTTAAAATTTATATGTGCATATGGAAGTACCTGTTTTACTTTTATAAGAAGTAGTTCTAGTGTACCTATGTATTTAACCTTTCTTCTCTTTTTATAAATTTAAGCCTGATGTAGGCTTAGATAGCAGTAGATGAAGAGACCTGTCAATTAGAATGAGCAAGAAGACCTTTTAGGAGGGGAGGGAGAGAGAATGGGAGATCCATGAGAGGAAGTCCATGTTTGGGACCTCAGAGACATTTCCCTAGGACACTTTTCTAGAGTGAGTAGGTATTTCACTTTCTCCAAAGATTTGCATTTGAGGGATGTGGACATATTGGGAAGTGAGGATAAAGAGGAGCAGAAAGAACAGATTAGGGGAATGGCAGAGGTAGGGGAGGAGGTGTGTGTTCTCAGCATCGTTGTATCCCATGATTGAACATGCTGTCCTTGGTCCATTACACAGCCTGGAGACCCGCCTGAGGACTTGTGGTCATAGAGCCCCGGGCTCTCATCCGGGTGTGCCATCGACTACCTGTGAACACCATGTCTTAGTTAATTCCTGAGTTTGTGTCTTATCTATAGTTGTAATTCTATGGAAAGCACTTTGTAAACTCTGAAGTGCATTGGAAATATTAGTTATTATGAGGACCTAGGATTTTTTAGCATAGCGCTTTATCCACCCCTGCCTTCTCTCTGGGTTTATGTTCCTCATTTGTTGCCATGGCTTTAGTTTCTCTCCCGTTGGCCGTGTGACTTATCCTCTGTCCCCTGTCCTCACAGAGGCTTCTGTAGGCCTTCCCAGATGATAGCTGTTCAAGTCTGTTTATGGACTGATGGGAGAAGCCTCAAGGGCCCACTTTGTGTTATAATTGAACAGCTTTCCAGACAGCATTTCTCTAGGATGTTTGATAGTGGGCATTTGAAGGATTAGGTTTGAATCAAGGGGAGGGGGACTGGTTTGGTTCCTAATAGGGAAATCAGTTTGAGCTCATTGGAAACAGAGCAATTTTCACGTTCAGATCACATTCCTGTATATATAATTCACACTGAGTCCCAATGAACGGCTCTGACTCTAGCATTTTAGCGGAACAGGGATTGGTACAATACAGCCCATGGGCTGAACCCGACGAGCCACCTATTTCTGTGAAGTTTTCTGGAGCACGCTAGGCCGGTTTGCTTTTGTGCTGGGTGAGTGGAGCCGAGTGGTCACGACAGACGGCGCGGCCTGCAGTGCCTCACGTCCTCACTCCCTGGCCCTTTGCGGAAAAAGGGTGCTGGCCTCTGTGGGAGTAAGCGCACCCCGGGCAGTCTGGGTAGAACTGATGCTTTACCAGGAACCGTGTGCGTCAGGCTCTCGTGGCAATAACTTTTTCAGGAAACCCTTCACACGTTCCTTGAATGTCTTGGCCTCACATGTGAGAACCACAGCTGTAGGAGACGCGTATCATGAAGGGTGTCATACATTGAGATCTCTCAACTAGCTAGACTGGTTAGAACACGTGGTGATTTTTTGGCTAATACACTTTTTGAGGTTGGTTTTTTTTCTTTTTTCCTTCCCCTTTGCTATTTTCCCTCCTCTTTTCCTGCCCCTTCCCCTTTCCCCACCAACCAATTAAACAGGTTTGAATTCCTCAGGAGCATCTGTAGCAAATAACAGCCGCTGTGCAGGAGAGCCCCACCTCGGAGATAGAGTGCTGGTGGTAGGCCAGAGAATCGGCACCGTTAAGTTCTTCGGGACAACAAACTTTGCTCCAGGTAACTCATCTGGATATTCTTGGCTCCGCTTGAGCGCTTCAGAATACGAAAGGTTTAAAATTTTACATGTAGGGAATTCCTGATGAACAGTTCTTGTGGATGTTAGTTATCTTTGGCACCGGCGAAGCCAAACAGTGATGGAAACACCGACTGGACTCGGGTTGACTGTCGTCCGCGAAATCTCACTTGTATTGTAAATTGTCTAATGTTAAAATTCGTGGCCCTTCTCCAACTTCATGCTCACTGATTGCCAAGCGTGCTCAATAACAGAGAGAAAATATCAGGATTAGATTTTTGCTAAGGTTATTCTTTTTTTTTTTAATTTCAAGTTTTTATTTAAATTCTAGTTGACCTATAATCGGTAAAATTGGTGTTAGGTGTAGACTTCAGTGATTCATCCCTTACATGTAACACCCAGTGCTCATCACAAGTGTCCTCCTTTAATCCTCCTCCCCCATCCACCCTGTCCTCCACCTACCTCCCTCCAGCAACCCTCAGTTTGTTCTCTATAGTTAAGAGTCTCTCACGCAGTCTCATGGTGCGTCCTTTTTTTTCTTCCCTTCCCCTATATTCATCTGTTTTGTTTCTTAAATTCCACATACGAGTGAAATCATATTATATTTGTCTTTGTCTGACTTATTTCGCTTAGCATAATACACTCTAGCTCCATCCATGTCATTGCAAATGGCAAGATTTCATTCTTTTTGATAGCTGAGTAATATTCCAGGGGATTTATACCACATCTTATTTATCCATGCATCAGCTGATAGACATTTGGGCTCTTTCCATAATTTGGCTATTGTTGATAATGCTGCTATAAACAGCAGGGTGCATGTACCCCTTCGAATCAGTATTTTTGTATCCTTTGGGTAAATTGCTAAGGATATTCTAAAAATGAGTTCACAGCATATCGCTTTTATCTGAGTGGCTCGGAAAGAAAAGCCAACAGACAGATTCGAGGGAAAATGAAAAAGTTTCTGTGCACCCTGGGACCTTAAAAATACATGTTTCGGTATTTACATATTTATTCCAATCTAGACTTAATACTGTGTTTCCAAAAGTAAAGATTAGCTTTCTTTTGCATTTTCAGTGATTGTAATTTCAAATATAGAAGCCAGGTGAATGAAACCATGTTTGTGTATTTTAAGTGGCAGTACGCTGTTTGGACACATGGCGGCGTTGCAGCATTCTAGGAGAAGGTTACCCAGAACATTGATTTTAAATTTGTAGCCTTCTGTCAAGAACTGTGAAGGACCTGAGATTTTACCCTATGTGTGTAAGCTGACAAGTTAGATTGCCACAGTTTCATAGATGCTAATGGAAGACGTTAGGCTCCTGATTCAAGGACAGGACTTCTGGAGTCCCAGCAGCAGCAGAAGCAGAGGGTCAGCATTTTCTTTTTTGGTTTTTTTTTTTT